AGCGAGCATAATGAGAGGAATTTTTCAGGATAATTTTGCTATGTTTCATTTTGGAGATATATGACAGATTTTAACATCTTGAACCAGTAGAAAGATTCCTGTCAACTTCAATGGGGCTTAAATACGACTTTCAATCTTCTACATTTTTGCAATGATATGAAAAACAGAGGTTGTTTAAAAGTATTAATCTGAATTCTGAAATAATTGAACGATACTCTTTTTTTAAATTAATCCTGCTATCGCTTCCCCTCCTGAAACCTATCACAGATTTTAACATCCTGAACCAGTAGAAAGATTCCTGTCAACTTCAATGGGGCTTAAATACGACTTTCAATCTTCTACATTTTTGCAATGATATGAAAAACAGAGGTTGTTTAAAAGTATTAATCTGAATTCTGAAATAATTGAACGATACTCTTTTTTTAAATTAATCCTGCTATCGCTTCCCCTCCTGAAACCTATGAATCCTCCAACTGATGATGCATTCCTTAAGATCGAAATGTTTTTCTTCAACTTTTGAAACACTGCCGGTGAATCTTCACAGGTTATTTTTTCTTCACCTGTGCAGCCTGGGAATGCTTGATTTATCAAGTTTTATAGGTAATACTTGTCTCTGATACAAAACCATAAAAAATACATAGATGGAGATGGTGGAGTTGTCTAACAAACATTTTGGGGTGGACCTGTGATTTTTCTTTGGCTAACCAGTGCATGTAGCCACATAAGACTAAAAAAGTTAGACTTTCATGTAATCTTTTTAAGAATCCTTTATATGGGAGAAAAGCCATCATCAGCCCATGAAACTCCATGGGCTTAAAAGCTACCACAACTACGAGACCTAAGAATGGGCCAGACAACATTACTTCTAGTGAGTATTTTTTGTCCTTAAGATCCCAGAAGAGTTACAAGCTCTTAAGAAACAGTCAGAAAAAACAGCTTCTGCAGTTTCAGTTGTTACTACCACTTAGGTTTTTGTCATGTCCCTTTTGCTGCAAGTTTGTTATTTTCCACAGCTTTTTAGTAGGACAAAGTTTACCTGCTTTGTCGGAAAAATCAGTGTTTTTTAAACTCAGTTTACCATGAGCTGCAAGATTTTGCCCCAAGGCAGGTAAGAAGCACTCACACGTCCTGCTGCATTGGCAGAGAGCTGTAATCTCCAGGAAAGCCGTATCAGCTATGCAGCTGTTTCTGCCTGTGAACATCTCTTTGTAGACTAAAAGTAGGCTGCAGGTGGCTCAACCCTTCCTCTAAGTATACAGTTGAGGAAAGGATTCAAGTAGCTTTCTCCTTTGTGCTCCTCAACTGGAGTCAGTACAAAGAGAGACTAATCCTTGTGAGAGAAACATACTGAGAAGCCTAGCTAGCCACCTAAAAGGCTTGATAGCTACCTCCATCAGAGTGGGATCAGTTGTCTCTCCTTTGCAGTCGCACCTAAGAAAATGAATAGCATTGAGAGCACTTGCTGTGCCTGCTGTAGGGATGGGATGAATAGGAAATTGGGTTGTTCCCAGCGTCATTGTGGTTTGCTCCGAGAATCTGCTGCAGCGCAGTGACTCTGCACTGCTCTTACTGCAGGGTTGTAGCTTAATGCCACAATGTAGCCTGAAATCTGTTCCTTGCCAATTATCCCTATAACTCATATTTGGTTTAAAAGTCAAAGCAAGTTTTGTTCAGCAGCCAGCTGCAAGCTGGGTCTAGTTTCGAAAAAAATCAATCTGAAGATTTATGCTTCACAAATCACCATCAGCTGATACATATTGGAGAATCAGAACACTGCAAGCAGATAGCTGCAGCAGGACAAGTTTTGTTTAATTTCTGATTTATAACTAGTATTGTTTATTAGCTCTGCTGATAACAGTTGAATGATTCCAAACACTAATACAAATTTGTGAGGAAAATCCCCTCGTCTGTAGCAGAATAGTAGCAAAGGTACTGTAGGAAAGTCAAAGGGGCTGAAGGATCCACAGGCTAAGGCACCACAGTTGAACAGATATATACAACTCCAGGACAAAAATGAAAAGGGGAAAGATGTGTGACTGTTTCCCCTTTAAACAGTATATACATAGTGTCTAGATGCTCAAGCAGGGCAAACACAGCTTACCCACTTCGGTCACCTGCCTCCTCCACAGTATGTGTGGTACCGGTAACTACAGTACAGGCTGCCAGCATTATCTGATAGTCCCTACAGCTCCTTGTTTCATGACTGGCTTGATTCACACAAATTATGAGACTACTTCTGTAAGGAAGGACTATTCATGAAAACACAGATTTTTCTTGTGCGTACCTAGCAACAATGTACATACACATTCAGTCATTGGGGCACAAACTAGAGGAAGTACAAATATTTGACAATAAAAGACAAAGCAATTGAGTATCCTCAAAGGAAGGGGACATCCTTTACCAAGAACAGCAGCTTAATATGGAGATTTCACAATTTAGCTTTGTTTCTTGAAACAGAATCACATTTTTTCATATCCAAAATATAAATAGTTGATCAAGCTCTGTCTTGAAAGTTAGTGAAATAAGGCATACAAGGGAGGCAGATATCACTTCAGTAACACTAAGTGCTCTCTTCAATGCCAGTCACACACCTGTGTTTTCTGGGCTTCAGTCACCCTTCTTGCAACAAATGTAGCACTGGTGTAGTTACCTGTAGATGCTGTTAGTATAGAAGCTTATGACTGTTCTTCCACAATGGTCAACAAAAGTTTTACTACATGGTGTCGCAGATGGAGTGAGACTGCAGTTCACCCATAAGAAAGAAGCAACAATACACTTTATTGATATAAAACAGTGAGTTAACAAAGTTCAATGGTAAATGCAACAGTGAGTTAACAAGATTCGATGGCAAGGTACACTTGATTATTTACTGCATAGAGGACAGGGTCAGACAAAACTGTCAGGGAGACCCTCCCGTTGAGCCATGAGGTTCAGAAAGGACCCCCTTGCCTTCTAAACACCTTCTCAGAGAGGAGTCTAGGCACGGCTAGATCCAATCCTAGTCCCAGACTTGGTCAACAGTTTATGTCTAAAGGATTATATATGCACAATTAATCCTTTATATGACTTAGGTAAGATTTCAAAGTTTAGCATGCTATTAGTCACTTACTGAGTATCTGTTGCAGCAAGG